AAGGTGTAAAAACCACAGAGGGAGTCAATCATTTTAAAAGGCAATGATTTTATTCAATCAGCAGCTGAGATTTTCTAGCAGCAAAGTTTTGTGGTGTGTGTCTTGTATTTAATGTTGTTGAATTAAGAGTGCAGAGGTAGATTCAAACTTTAGTCAAGAAAGGTTTTTAGTATTCATGAAAGAATGAAAGTATTCTTTCATTTGCAACATTTAGGTGGCTATTTAAGGTTTCCCTGCAGCCCTCTAACAGCAGCCTGAAGAACGAATGAAAATAGGAGTTCCCTTGTTAATGGCTTTGATCTGTCATTCCTAAAATTTCTAATGGGTTTAAGAATCAGCATTAGTTCTCTATAAACCCATCCTAACATCAAATTGTCTTGTGTGTTGAAAGCAGTGTCTTCGCTAGCATCAAAGCCTTCCTCTATAAGTTAAAGAAACAGCAGAGATCTGATGAATGGCTCAGGCTCTGCAGTTTCATTTGGGTAGGTCTGTGCAGATAAACTACCAAAACACATCCAGGTCTAGAACTGCTGCATCGCCTAATGTCCATATATTCTTGTATCCCTTGTTTTTGTTTCTTGTTCTTTTTCTTTTTTTTCTTTCTTTTTTTTTTAATTATCATTTACATTTTACAAACAGCAGCTGTACAGAGGTATTTGCTGTTTTGGATGTAAAACTAGCTGCATAGTGCGATCATTCAACCAGATATACAGACACACAAAAAACTTTATGACATGGAATTATTCAGGTTATGAAATCCAACATAAACTATACTTACAAAAAAGTTACATCAACGCAAAGACAGAGTAAGTTCTGGATCCTTTCCCTTACTGGGTAACAGCAGGAACCTCTGGGAAATATCACCAAACAGATTTCTACACCTGTGGAACCTGTGGGAATGTGGCCCTATCCCTTTTCACGTGCTTGAAGTCACACTGAGTGGGTACTGGCACTCCTACAAACTATCTTGATAAATCTGGCCGCAAGTGGTATAGGAGTCTTAGTTGTAGGGCTTCTGATCCTGTTCTTCTGGAGCATGGGCAATGGGATCCATCATCTACTGTCCTACAGGCTGAGGCTGGGTGACATTTATAGCTGAAGAAGGACATTTTTCCCTAAGAACTGTTTTGGGGAACAGACTGGTTCAGCTCATGCCCCACCAGCTGCAGCACATCTTCCCTTTGGCCAGAAAGATGATGGAGAGTATAAATATACATAACATAAAAATAGTCTTGCAGCCTTCACATTGAACTGCAGCTTTTTATACTGTGTGAGATCACTGCAGAAGACAATGTTAAGCCTGAGTTAGTTGTTCTTCGGTGTGTATCTGGCAGCTGATCTGAAGACAAAGGGCTGTTAGCAATGCTTTTCTGTTGCGAAGCACGGACAAAAGCACGACAGACACCAGCAGAGTCAGATCATGCTTCACCATTTTATTGCCCGAATAGCCCAACTTTTATAGTGAATTTTACAGGGATGGACAGTGTTTCACACAAGATTATTGGTCAAAAGCACCCAGACAAACCGTTAAGAAAATAACACCACCTTTTGATTAGAAGTTAGGAAAACAACCCCCTTTGTGCTTAACGGTCATGTAGGCCTAGTCCTTGAGGCCAGCTGCTGATAACAATATTTTCTGAGTTCCTTAATTGGGTGATGTGGGAGTCATTGCCGTGGGAGCTTCTCACAGTTACTCTGGCAGCTTGGTTTGCTCAGCTACAGCAGGCCCTGAGATTTCTAAGGCCTACCCCTCGTTGCTTATGTCCACGTCCTGTATGCCAATTCCCAACACTTTTCCCCACCAGAACCTGTCCAGCTGGGGCTGATCCAGAATCTGACAAAGGAGTTGAATGGACAACAAGGAGAGCAAGCTCTTGGGCTGAAGATGCTAACTAGGAGATACTTCTGAAAATTAACAAGAAATATGCTGCCTGAGATGGTGGTTTTACTGGTTGTGGGATCATAAACTGGCTTAGCTCCTTGCAGGGGATTTGCATAGTTCCCACTGCTTCTCTTCCTCCCCAGGAAAACTTACAGCTTTCTACTCATTTCTGCTGCTGGCCTGGAACAGACTGAAACTTCTTCCTTGGGATCTGGAAAGCCTTCTGTAAAACATCCCCTGCACTCTGCACGCCTCAAATTAAACTGTCTGACTTCTTTCTGCTTGCTCACATGAAACATCAAAATTTATGCACTGAGACACAGCTCATCTCCATCTAAGCCCATGTGTCCAGCCCAGGCCAGCTGGATCACAGGACCTGTGTGCCTAAGCGAGGCCAGCCCTCACAGCTGGTGGCACGTGAGGGACCAGGCTGCCTGTAACTGCAGCTGACCATCCTGACCCCAGGGCAGAGGATGAGATTCCTTGCCTGGAGCCTGGTATATGACCTGCCTCCAGGAGAGGTGAGAACAGCTCACCTGCTGCCCTGCTGACGGTACTGTGGGTACCCACAAGCAGTTAACTGGGTGCTGCGGGGTGACTTGGTGACCCCTCTTGTGCCGCTCTGCTTGGTGGCTGCAGAAAAACTAAAGTCCAGATATAAGACACGAAGCCCAATATAAGACACAACATAAAAGAACAGACAGGATGGTCCCACCTTGGGTCCCACCAAAATGAATCTTGGAGTCCTGTGACCTTCGTTGCACTGTACTGTAGCTGCAACATGCAGTGTGCAGGAATGGGGTGGGGTGGGGTGGAGAGCTAGCTGGGGGACTGGTCAGGTCTTGTCATGAGCCTTTTCCTTGTGATCCTACACACCCTTTTGCCTCAGGAAAGCACTGAGTGTAGAGTAGGTATATGTCTGTTGCAGTGATGATTTACTCTCTTCTAATTTGGGAGATGCGTTATTTACCCACTTCTCGGTGCTTGGAACACCAACGAGGTGGTTGTCACAAACTGTGAAATTAATCACTCCTTCACTGGTGGGAACACAAGATAACAGGTGGGGCACTCAGCCTCCCTTATCTCTGAACAGCAGGGGCACAGAGCAAAGAGTTGCCAAACCTCTAACTCGTGTCTGCTGCCCCTTAGTACAGAGGCTCCCAGTGCTCAGTAGATGTCAGGCACTGCAGCCCAGCCCTGTGATGTCCCAGGTGAGCAGCTGAGTGTAAAAAACACATTGCAGTGATGAATGTTCCTGATATGGGGACAAAGATGATGGTGTTTGTCCCTCCAGGTATGAAAGGTGAAGCTGAAAAGACCTCTGCACTGCCTCAAGGGACTAGAGGGTGGAGGGACAAGTGCACGAGAAGGCCCAGCACAAGGAACTGGTGCAGAAGCTGATGGTATCTGAGCCCTGTGGCCCACGGCTGTGAGACAAGTGTACCACAAGAGAGGCAAATGGCAGCTGTGGGAAGTCTGTGAGCCCATGACACCGCTCAGGCTGACAAGTGGCAGCACAAGCTTTGAGCATCGGGTGAGAAAAACAGTGGTGTCCTCAGTGTCACCACATTCATTGGGTCTCCAAGCTCCACCTCCTCTGGGTCTGTTGTCCTAACTGACACAAGGAGTCTAGAGAACAGTTCGGCCCATGAGACCATCTGCAACAGTGAGCTGAATTGCTTCATTAACAGTACTCAACTCAGGGGCCTAAATGTGTCTGGAGCCATTTGAGGTGCCCTGGGGAGTCCTGCCTGGCTCCAGATGCTACTCCAGAAGGGCACGGGTCCCCCAAAGGCCCTGTGCCAAAGCTGCAAGACCCATGCAGGTACCTCAGGGTGTCCTGTGTGTGCACAACTGGGTCAAACTCTGGAGATCACCTAACTGGAGCTGAATTCCTCTCCATGAAACTATGGCTTGGGCAGGGCCAGAAACTCAACAAATCTCCCTGTTTCTATTTCTTTTGTGGCAGGAAGCCTATTTCCGTAGTGGCATAAGAATAGCACAGGGACCAGATGAAATGTCTGTCTGCCTCTGTGCCCTGTCTCCATCAACAGCCTCTTACACCTCCCTACCCTCTTTAGGAATGCTGCAACAGGGAGCAATAAAAACCACACAGGTGAGGTGGCTTTTGAGCTCCCAGATATTCTTTTTCATTTGGTTTGAGTTATGATAGAGTTGGTTGAAACCAATTCTCTTGAGGAGCCAGAGTAATACCGCATTTGCATCATAACTGACACGAGTTTGTTGGTTTTTACTGGGAAGGGCAACTTCATTCTCTGTCCTAAGGAGAAACACTGATGTTGTCTCATAATTAGCGCTTTTCTTTCTCTAATTTCCTCACTGGGAGACAGATTCCCTGCCTGACAGGCTTGGCTTGTCCCAGGAGATTTCTGACTGTTCCGAGCTGTATTTGAGAGTACAGCAATGCCTTTCTGGACAATCTTGCAGGGAACCCCACAAAATGCTCATGTTTTGGCTCCTGTCACTGGGAAGTGCCCTCAACTGGATGTGTCCTGTCAGATGCAGCAGTCAAGGCTTGGCCTGGGCTATCAGAGCTAAAAAAGCTGTAGTTTGAGACACGGAGGCAGGCTGCACCAGGTTTCACTGCTCTCTCTGAAGAGAGCACAGTCAGGCATCCATCACACATACACATCATTTTACATACCAGGTTTTTCTTATGACTGTGCCCTGTCCCTGGCCAGGGATCTCAGATCCAGAGCACAGGGAACTAACTCACAGGACTAATATCTGGGTAATGCTCACCATTCAGATATGAGTCATTAGGACAACTTGTAATCGTCGAATTTTGTGTCTTGGCTGGCATCGTCTCAGCCACTGAAACAATTATATTTTCACTTAAACCTTCTGGCCTCACTTGCAACCTCTGAACTCCACCCAGCACAGAAGGGCAGAGTTTCTGTTGCCCTTTAACTTTGCATTCCCTTCCTTGCTGCATCGCTTTAGGTAATCTCCAGCCAAATCGTTGCGTGTCTGAGTCCTTTCCTCTCATTTACCTTGTGCTCGCTCAGGAAATGTTTACAGCTGTATTGGCCCTTTGGGAGGGAAGGTGCTGATGGGAGAGGAGAGGTCACGTTGATAAATCTCCCCTGAGCCAGGGGAACAGAAGTGCTAGCACCTGGTCCACAGGAAAGTCATGACCCAATAAATCCCAACTCAGCTGCTACCTGACCAGCAAATCTTGAAGATACTTGGCCAGAAGAGCCTGGACTTATTAGCCCTCCTGGTGATCCACAAGCTAAGTGGTACTGTGAAGGGATGGGGATCAGTAATTGCATCCTGTGTAAGGATTTTGTCTGGGTAACAGTCTCCCACCTTTCTTCCTTTTGAGGCTGGGCTTTTTGGGACAAAAAATCATGCGACGGAAAGCAGCAAAGCAAGCAAGACTCTGGCCCTGAAGCAGTAGTTCTGCTTGATTTTAGTTCAGTGACTTTAAAGCCTTGAATCCCATTCTCAGTGCAAGTGGCTGGGTTTAAACAAACAAAATCTGCACTTTGGGGTCTACCCTGAGCTATACAACCCCCAGCTAGGACACAGGATTGAATTCTGCACAAGCTGTCAAGACGCTGCTTGAAGGGAAATGTGGGAGGAAAATGCGTTTTGTATTTATAACCCAGGGGAGAATAACCCAGAGTGGAAAGTCTGTGGGACCGCCCTTGGTCACAGGAGATGGGAGCTGGCCTGGGGAGGGCTGGCTCTCCCTGTTTGTGCTATAGGGCATGCGTGTCTCTCCTGCAGCGTGCACAGCAGCGCCGGTGCCAGCTGCCTGGAAGTGAGGAGCGGCGACGCTGAGCTTTCCCACGCTGGGGACCCTTTGTTGGTCTGGGCATGAGTCTCTGAGTGCCTTTAAAGTAGAGAGAGCAGCAGCAGCACCACCCTGCCCCGGAGCGGGCGGGGAGAGGTTGTAAGCTGAAGATAGTGTCATGTACTGATGGAGACAGACTGTACACAACATTTGCTATTCAATCATTTTGGTTAAGTCGCTTGGTATTTTCCCTTCCCATGACCTGTTCTCCACTCAGCCCTTTCATGCATCTCTTCCGTATTTCAGTGTCTCTGAGATTAGTTTGTCCTCCGGGTTTTGTCCTGCTCCTCTCTGTCATTACAACACTTTCTCTTGTTCTTCCTCTTGACTCTTTTCCCCCTCTATTCTCATCCCTCAGCCCTGGTGTCCCAGCAGATCCCCAGCCCCATGTCTGCCTGTGTGTGATGGATGTGTGGGGAGAGGACCAGCCCTGATGAAGCAAGCAGGGAACTGGGGCCACAGGGGAGCCGGGAGCTCTTGCTCCAGGCTAGCAGCCAGCCACGTTTCTCTGAGGTGCTCTCATAAAATATTCCCAGCGTTTTATCAAAGAGGTGATGCTGTCACGGGTTTGTTTATTATTTCCCTCCGGGGATTTGTCTCTTCACGGCTTCTTCCTTTCATTTTTGAGGAGGAAATGTTTGCTGCTCTGTCAGCCCCTGGGAGGAAAGTAAGTTACAAAGGGAGCGGTGGTAATGAAAGCCTTTTCCTGAACCAAGGTAACACAGCTCTGTGGTCACCTATGCCCTAAACATGTGGGAACCGAGCTCAGCCCTCGAGGACAATGATCAGGGAGCTGATCACCAGTGGAAAGAGCCATGGCAGGGGATCAGGGACACAGCCTGTGTGCTATCCCACAGATCCTTTAGTCTCTGTTCCTTCAGCTGCTCCTCTCCCTTCATGGTCCCTAACCTTGACTGGACTTCTCCTCCCACCAGGCCCAAGCCTTTCCCCTCACCATCTCCTCTCACACCTCCCATGCATCTGCTCAGCCATTTCAGCTGAGCTGTGAGCAAATCTGTCCAGCTTCCACCCACCCCTGTGTGCACTTCACATGTGTGACATGCCGTGGCCATGCCTGGGGGTACCGTGTGAGCCTGGGACCAGATCTTCTTCAGCTGATGCCTTAGGGCTGTTTTTTCTCCACCTGCGGTCTGCAATTTAGGCACTTTGCACCCTCCCAGCGTTTTGGAAGGCGGTTCTGCTCTTGTGCTGGTATCTTTATTTTCTAACACATTTCATACATTCCTGCAGTCCCCAGGCCACTTTCTACCTCATTTACTCCTGCCAAGGATTTGTTTTCCTGTCACTGTGTCTGGAAGTCTTGCACAGGTATGAGTATGGTAAGAGGCTCTCAGGGTTCTTTGAGAGGACATGCAGGTCAGGAGCCCTCTGTTATTTTCTACTATATCATTCCTTTTTCCTTTTGTATCTTCTTTCCTCTATACACATTTGGGAACATCACGAAACACCTCACTGAGAAACTCCACTTCAGACCCAGGAGAAGACATCGAAAAGGAAATGACTGAAGAGAAGAGGAGGGGGGGGATTCTTCTTTCATGATGTATGTTCTTGCTACTAATTTTAGCATCCTATTTTTGTTCCTTCTGGTATCACAAGTGTCCTGTGCTTGTGAGGGCATAGATGTGTCTCTGGTGGAAAGTTTGGGTTGCAGATTAGCTCCTGGCTTCCTTTTGTCATCAGGAATAGACCAGATAGGTAAACAGACAATTCTCAGTATTTTTTCCTATGAGGTTTTGTTTAGCTTCCACGAGGGAAACCCTGGAAAATTCTTCTAGAGTGATCTGCGTGCAAGCAAGCTATTGTCTTCAAAACAATCTCCATCTCTGCCCTGGATCCTGAGCTAATGTGGTACTCTCCATCTCCTGTACTGACTGCATGTGTGCTCCGCAAGCAGGAAAGTCGACCCACAACAGAAGGGGTCTCTCATGCCAGGGATAATTTTACTGTTGGAGACGCACAGTGGGGACATGATTATCTGCTTCTGTCTGGTTTCCCCAGGAGCTGAGACCTATGTGATCATGCAGAAGGTGAGTGCAGGTGCCTGTCTGTTCCTCTGCTACCTTTGAAGCATTGTATTGGTTTTCAAAGTTCCTCCTGTTTAAAATGGAGTTGATGAAAAGATGTCTGGGCTTTTCAGAGAGGAAAGCCTATTTTAGCTAAGCAGGTTGTTCTTTCACAGAGCTTCAATCTGGTTAGATACAATGATATGATCCTCTCCCTATCCAGCCACTGATTGCTGCAGCTCAGTTCTTGCTCATTTTCTCCTATATGGAAATACATCCACTGGGGTTGGGGAAGAGAGAGAGGGAAATAAAAGGAGGGGAAAAATGGAAAAAATAATTAATGATGGCAGCTTTTCAGCAGCTCTGTAAAGTAAAACCTCTGACTTCTATTCATGTTATTAGGTAAGGAATTTATTTTACTTTCAGCCACAAAAGCAAGGGTCTATGCTGACTTGCCTGCCCCTGCTTAGCATCAAACCCTTCCAGTCTTCACAGCCTCCTGGCTGCTTCAGGGTGTCGTTTGCCCCTCAGGCAAACCAGGCCCAAACACCTAATCTTGATTCATTGCTTTAGTCAGCTTGGAAAATCTCTGTGATTCTGTTCGGTTACTCATTTCTGGGAAGGAGAAGACGATTATATTGGCCTTTCTGGTTTCGAAGGAAAATGTGTGCTGTTATAGGGAGCAGAATGTGCTAGTGTAAGATCCAGGCCCAGCCTCACACCTGCCTGCCCAGGACCCGGTGCCATGAGACACCTGAGCACATATCCTTGGCACTTGGTGTCGTTCTTATCTTGCATGTTTATCGGTCATCCTTGTTGTTTTCTCTCTTGTGAGAACTGAAAAATGAACAAGGAGGACAGGAATCAAAACTTCAAGGCCCTGGAGGAACGGTGGGTGAATCACATGGATCCTCTCCAGACATGAGGCAAACACGATCATGTCATCAAGGTGTTGGAGATACCGTGCTGGGAAGGGGCCAGCTCTCGAGGCTGGGGAGGCTGAGAGCAACGAAGCCTCAGAGTGGGGAAGAAAAGTAACTTTCTTGCTACTGCTTCCTCATCTGAGTCCTGCTGTGCTGCTTGCGTGGGGGACTGGGGGTTGTGGAGTCCATGGATCACTCTCCTGGGCCCATTATCCAATGTGTCTGAGTGCAGCTGGGGTAACACAAACCCTTAATTTAGATAGTATTTGTGCTAACACATGATTAGTGTTAGAGCCTTGAAGTCTCCCAGGCAGGCAAAAGCCATGGGTGTAAACCACATCTCTTTCTCAACCAAAATTCTAGTAGAAAAAGGTGTGTGTGTTTACTTTTTTCTTGGGGGTGGGGTGGGGGAATGTGTTTAATCCACACTTTTTTTTTTTTTTTTTTCCTCATTGCTGGATGCTGAAGCTCACGGCCTCCAAAGCTGCACCTCCAGGGTGCTCCATCTTTCTGCGTGAGGTACAAAATCTGTGGCTTCTTCTTACAAGTGCTTGGGTCTCAGGTGTGTCCCACAGCCCAGAGCTCAAGGGTAATTTGGCCAAAGATCTCATGTTTGTTATGAGGTACACGACTGATCTAGGAGGGGAGACAGTGGTGCCTACAGTTAGTTACTGGCTGACAGCTCTGGTTCTATTAAAATGGGGTTTGCTCTGGTGTAAGGTGACAGCTATTCTTTGTGCTCTGCCATCTTCCCCCCATCCTCTTCTTTTTTTTTTTTTTTTTTTTTTTTTTTTTTTGCCTGATCTTGCCTCTCTTTTCTTGGCTTTGAGGCTGGACACGTTTCCCCTTGGAGCAACTCCGACTCTGTCTCTTAAGCATCTTTTATCTATCAGCTCCTAAGCTTTCAGAAACCTGTGGAAAATGAATGTGACACACAGAGCTTGGACAGCTATGAGGGGACTTTCATTGCCTCTTCCAGCCTTCTCTGTGCCCAAGGCAGCCCTTGTTCTCCCAGCATGGCTTGCTAGAAGGCTACATGGGTCAGACCTGGCAGATAGAAGGACTGTCCCTGAGTGATATCATCTGGCTCCGTCTGCACTGAGCTCCAGAGATGTGGGCATAATTAAGCTTTTTGCAGAAGTTTCCAATTTCCTAAGAAGTCCACAGTTGGCTGAAAAGTGATTTGAGCAAAAATATTGGCTGTACCATTAGATGTTGGCTCCAAAACCAGAGAGGCTTTGAGATTCCTCCTAAGACTGTTTTCCCTTGAGTATCACTGTAGCACTTGTGCCTTTCTTCCCCTCCTCCTTTCTGTTTTCCTAATACAGAACAAGAGACCTAATCATGGATGTGGGCTCCCCTGTGCCTCATGGTTCCTTGGGACACATACACATTTCACTACAGCTAATGTCAGACAAGAACCAACATCTCGGTGAAGAGCCATGGGGAAGAAGAAGAGAGCGAGACCCAGAGGATCAGCCTGACAAGCAGTGGCTTTAACACAGAGGGGTGCAAGCATGTGAGGGGCAAGGAAGGTGAGGTTTTCAGGGGATCTTTTGAAAAAATAATCCCAGGAATAGAGAGCATGGGATAAAAGATGAAAGTGTATGTTTGAAAACAAGCAGGTGATGGCAGGGGCTACCTGGGGTTGGGAGCCAACTCCTTTATGGTGACCACTGATGGGTTCCCAGGTGGGGTTTGACTAGCTGAAGGTAAATATCTTGTTACCTGAAATAGCTCTCTCTCATCCCAGTGTCTCGTAAACCCTTCCAGCTCTATGCTCAGTCCTTGGCAGGATAGGTGTCAAGATCCTTGAAGGTGCTGAATGGGTGCTACCATGCAAAGGCTTTGAACTTGTATGGCACCACTCATTCACTGCTGGCTTTTGCTCTTCCAGCCATGCTCAGATACTTTTTCCTTGGGAATCTAGTTTGGAAAAGTATTTATGGAGCAGTTATTAACACTGTATAGTGCAGCATGTGTTGCTGTTGGCTTTTGGTCTTGTGGCAGACTCAGGGTTGACAAGAATTCAAATTTCCTGATTCTCCTTTGCCTTTTGGTGAACCCTGTGCTACAGACACGTGAACAGTAATAATCAAAGTATTATAGCTTAATGAGTTGTGGTGAGCTTTGTCCAAACCCATCCAATCTGTCAAGGCATCATTTGTAGCTGTCTGGCTGTGGACTCTTACACCTACAAATGATCCACTATTCCTGGCTCTGGCAATGCTCTTAAGTAAGAGAAGGGAAAAAAAAAAAGAAGAGCTATTGGCTTACAGCAAGGAAGGGTGTGAGACCAGAAACCCACAATTTGTATCTTGATGCTGTTCCAAATGGAACCAGAGCCATTGCAGGCTTTGTAAGACTCATAGTACATCCTTCCTGGGGCCCTTAGAGGCTCTCCCTGCTGTCCTGCTGCATTGCAAAGAGCTTTCCTGGCTTATTCACGTCTCTTTCATGTGCCCTCTGCATTACCTGTACCCAGTGTGGTCCATGCAGGTGAGTGAAGTACAGCTTATAACACCCTAGTTTCCTAGAGTATTGTGATAAGCATGGGCAGGAGAGAGCATTATCACACCCATTGGCCTGGCCTTTCTGAAGTGGCAATTAATTCAACAAGAACTGCAGTGTTAGCCAAGATAAATAAAAGTAAATAAAGAATTTGTCTATAAAAGCCAAACAAACAGAAGAGTTAAATAAGCTGGAGGAAGAGATGAATAAGAGAAAACCACACTTTGTACAAATCATCCTAAGACTTGCCTAACTTCTCACTAGCATGCCCAGCACCTATTTCTCTACCTGCCCTGTTGTGCTTTTCTTATGCAAACCGCAGCAACAAATAGTCCTTCATGGGAGCAAATGGAGATCTCAATATTCATTTTCCTTTAGTATCCAAACCCAATGCAGAGTTCCGTTCAGATTTGTATCTTGCTTCTTCTCCCTGCCAATGACCTCTTTCATTACTGACTTGATTAGGAGGCAATCTTTTCCCTGGGAAATTAGTGAAGCTGAATCATTGCCGTGTGGTGAGGCAGTACTCTTGTTCTCCCACATGTATCAGCAAATGTGGCTCATTGCAAGCTCTGAGTTGCGACTGACACAGCAGTAAGTCAAGGATGATTTGACAGATGTTGACTTGTCCCTAACCTAGATTTTGAGGTCTGCAGTTCTTCATTCCCATTCTGTACTCATGGACATGAGACAGCTTCAGTTAGGATGCTACAGAGGTGTGTTAGGTTTAAAATATATACTTATCTGAGACAGATTGTAGCCTGGATGGCTGGTGGTCCCATGCACACTTCTTTGGTAGTGGTGCCACTGTCTGCCACAGACAACTCTTCTCTGTTCCCTGTTCTCATGTCAGCCTGTTCCTATCAGAACTGATCTGTCCTAAACAAATCATTTCCTGGATTACTTTTCAACTAAAGCAGTTCTCTGGCTGGTTCTGAAATTGTTTTCCTGTCTTGAAAAGCTCTTTGGTGACCTGTCCCAGGACTGGTCTTCCCTCCTAGCAAAAAAGCTTTCTTCATGTCCACCTTAACCCTTCCAAACTCCAGTTTCTTGTCACTTGTTATATCAGCTGCCCCTGCTGAGAAGAGCTGGGCCGCAGCATTGTTGTAGCTGCCCTTCAACTAGTTGTTGGCTACCATCTCCCCTTCAGCTTCCTCATCAGAATAAACAATCACAGTCTGTCTCCTGCTCTTGGCAGCCCTTCTCTGCTCCATCTCCTGTTTCTTGATATCCCCCCTGATCTGGGGTCCAATAATAGAGGCAGCAACTCCTCGGTCTGCTGGTACAACTGTCCTAACATAAACCAGGATGTGGCTTACCCAATTTGAGATGAGAGCACATCGTGGGCTCATATTCAGCCTGGCACTGACCATAAGGTGTTATGGTAAGGTGGGGGCCAGCCCGGATTATCCTTCATGAATATCTGCACTGATGATGAACCCTTCCCAAAGACTCAGCAGAGTGCTAATCCAGGTGCTCAGTTTACATATGTGATATGGCTCATGTTGAAGGACCCTTTTTCCCAGCTATTTGGAAATAAAAAGTCATAGCAGCAGACCTCCACTTAAACAGATCCCAAAGAAAATCCTAATGGCTTTGTGAAAAGGAGTGTGATTTAACTCTTCTCTCTGATTTACACCTTAACACGGTGTCCCAAAAACAAATTAAGTAACAGTGTGGGAAGCACCATCATTTTGCATGTTACCTGTGTTGCTTGCAGTCTGTAAAGATCTCACCAGATATTGCTGGGGATGTTAGCTCTGATGCCCTGGGAAAGTTCCAGCACAGATAATTGCCTCCTACCTAATTCAATCCACATTTAATAGATTGGCACCACTGAAGTGAATGCCTTCAGGACAGACAAGTGGTGGGAATCAGGAGTGCCCAGAAGAGAAAAGAAAAAAAAAAAAAAAAAACACACACAAAAAAAGCTAAAAAGCAGAGATGGAAATCCACTGAGAATCAATGTTTGGGGAACAGCCCTCCTCCCCTGCCACAGAATGCCAAGAACCAATTCCCTTCTCCGAGCTGTTCAGACCTCAAAGTATGGAAAGAAACCTTGAGTTGTGGTTCTTCTAGAAGGGTGATGTCAGGAAGGATTACACCACATATGGTGCTGTGAGGGCTGCCACAATTCTGTTTGCCAAGGTCTGAACATGCAAGCATCACAAAGGAGATCCCTGTGTTCTCTCCAGACCTTGCTGTACGTGTTATGTGGACAGTGTGATTTCATTTCCATGTTCTTGCTGTTGCTCCTAGAGAAAGAAAATTTTTCAACTTGCCAGCCCTGGTGGGAAAGCATCAACAATGCCAGCATACAACCATCTTGTACTGTGGCTGCTAGTGCAGGCTCTCTGCATTACGGAGCTGACACCCTTTGCTTACTGTCCAGCATAAGGTATTCCAAAACAATGTGCAGAGGAGAAGCAGAAATATTGCCAGGATATTATTGCTCAGGGACAAGAAGACCTATCCCATCTTAGACATGGCTAAGCTGACACTTCCTATCATATTGCATATTCATTCTTATGTACTCCTCACACTTAAAGCAAACTGAAATGGGTTGGAGTTGCTGGAGATCTCCCTAGAAGTGCAGAAGGAAAGATCTCTGCCTTGGCAGAGGCTTGTTCTCTCTGCTCCATGTTCTTTGAGATCATATCTACCATGTTTATTATTTTTCTTAATAAATTGGCAGCCTCGCTGGGTTCCTCTCTGCCAGGTGCTGCACGTGCATTTACTGAAAGATTTACCAGACATCCTACAGCCCCAGGTAGGTCAAGGCAGGGCAAGAAGTCTGTGACAGCCACTCCATACCAGGTCCTTCGCTTTGAGATCCTCTGGATGCTGCATGGACACACAGATGGATGCATCTCACCTTCCCTTCCCTTTGGCATGAGGAATTGTACCACTACAATTCCCCTACCAAGTGGAAAATTGGACATCTCCTCACCTGCCTTGCAGTGCCGACATTCTCCTATTTTCTCCCTCCCCCCCCCGCAGGGAACCTGACTCGCTGCTGATTGTCCCCTTCTCCAGTTGACAGCAGCCACTACCTTCTTTCCAAAAATCATGCCCAGGCTGTGACTGCTCAGTCCCTGTCCCAGGGCAGCCACTGTCCCTGGGAGCATGATAACCTGTGAATTTTAAGGGAAAATGGATGACACTCAGCCCATTGCTTGGCTGCCTTGGGGTTATTCCCGGTCTTACAGCTTACAGTCGAGTCTTGAAGGTCTGAGCATATTCCCACTGAATAACAGCCCCCCAGCTGTCCCCCCAGACAGAAGGGCTACCTCCTGTAAACCCGTGCATTCCCTTGCTTCTGTCCTATGGCTCTCTGCTCTCTCTAAGAGGATAGCTGCTTGGTGACCCTGAGCCAGCCACCCTCTGAAGGAAAGACAGCCCAGAGACTTCAACTCATCTCTGAGCCCTGAGAACAAACCTGCTGCAGGTGTTTTGTCTGTGCAAGTATGGGAGGAGAAAACCGAGAGTGGGACCCGACTAGATTTTTCCATTTCAATCCAAATTGAATCAATTACTCATCCAACCGTGCTCTCCTTGTTATTCATTTAAGGGATATTCTCACTTAAGCGATTTCTGAGCCAGAGTCTTATTTGGAGGGTGTGTTATAATTCAGCTAGCAAGCTGGGACAGCTCTCCCTGGCAAGCTCGAGGTATTGAAAGGAGCTTGGCTTCAATAGATGAAGATAATTGGGGATATTGGACGAAGGAGAAAGAAGAGAGGGGAGAGAGCTGGTTTCATCCAGTTATGCGTACAGTATGTTAAGTAATCATATAACTTGGTAGTAATGATTCATTTGGAGATGTCTTGTGAAAGTTCTGGGCTAGTCGAGTCTTGCACTTGTGCTGTAGGCTGAAGCATGTAGAAAAACATCTCTGGCTTTGAGAGCTTGTTAAATATTGCATAAGAGAATCAGCTCCCTTCTCTAGTGGAAGTGGAAGCAAGCTCTGCAGGGGTTAGTGTGCTGGGTGGGGGCTCTCAACAGGGCAGGAGCAGCCCACTGGTGGGGGAAGGTATCCCTGAAATGAAGAGAGACGTGGCCTTCTGGGCAGTGGAAAACATGGGGCTTTGCCAGCAGGATGCTCGTGGTAAAGTGCAATCTTGCCAGCTGCAGCCTTGGCAGAGGCCACGTATGAGTGATATTAATTAGGCAGCAATTTCCCCTGGGGGCAAAAGTGCTTTGGATCAGTAGGCATTGGCCTCTTGTCCAAGATTGCTGAGTTTTAATCCCAGCTTTGATTTATGTATTTATTTTTTTTTTTGCTGCTGTTCCTTATCCTCCCTTGCAGAAGTTGGTTCTTCTGTCTGCAGAGGGCTGTGGTTTATTCCTTTAGAGTCTGTAAGAGGAAAAAAGTTTCCTTTGGCCATGACATTGTGGTACCATCATGGGGAGCAAAAGGAGAAGCCAGGGCCTCCTTTCTCTTGGTGTGGATGTCAGCTCAGCTCAGGAGGTGAGCCAATGTTATATGCACATTGTGTTACTGGTGGCAAGCTTAAGCATCATGTTCTTAGCTCTGAATGCATAGAAAGCCAAAACCTGGACAGCCTGAGGCATAGGAAGGTCTATGAAATCAGAATCACTGGTTCATTCCTGGAATGGGGATGTCATAAGAGTTCTCTCACTTATTTCAGTTTCCAAGTGTGGAGTGACTTCAGTTCAGCCCTGCGTGACAAGAAATTAATCTTTTCACCTCCCTTGCAGGAGGACCACTGAATTGTCCTGTCCATGAGGGAGATGCACTCATCTCCCCAAAGGCCAGCCACCAGAAGAGCCAAGGAATGATGGGGATGAGCAGTGTGCATCCATGTCTGGGTGCTGCTGGATCCTGACACAACATGGATTTGAACGAAACCAGGTTTGAGTTCTGAATAAATTTCAATTCAATTAGCCAGGATGCGTGATGTAGGCTTTAGGCAGCAGGTATATTTTTATACACACAGCACACACCACATTGAAAACAGAATTAGTAAAACCTTAGCTAAACCTTGTCCTCTCTGTCCCTGCCAGCTTGCCACGTGGCCTTACCGTAGTGCCCTCTGCATTGCAGAGAGAAGCAGTGATCTCGGTTTGGCTGCCATGGTGTGATACTATGGGCTTGGTGAGGTCAGGAGACATCTGATCTGACCTAGAGACAACGTAGTGCAGACACACCGTGCTGGGTCTGATCCGGACAAAGCTTGCCAGGTCAGAGGTAATCCTTGGAATACATTTCTGACAGCAGTGTCAACTTCTGCTGTGCCAGAGCTTTGCTTCACGTGGCTACAGCTTTTATGTTCTGGTATTCAGAGCCCTCTTGAACCCCTTGCCGCAGCTCTTTGATGTGTACAGAGAGGACTGGATTTCTGCCTACCCATCTCCATCCACAAGAACATCTCAGCTCTGACAGGACAGTATGGGAGGAAACATCTGTTCTTTGGCACAGACAAAAAGCAGGTCAAGACCTGTGCTTCTGCAGCTAGTTTCCACCTCGTTCATAAATAGCAGGTCTTGATGGGTGCAAACCTATCTGGAATGCAAAAGCAACAGGTAGTGTAACAACAGATGTGTTTAGATTGGTGTAGCTGGATCAACCCTAGCATAATGAATGTTGTGTGTCTTGCTTCACCTGTGCCTTGTTTTCAGAGCAGGAGAGCCATCTTGGTGTCTCAAACCCTGCTGTGAGGAATTGTCACTGCAAAGGGGGTGTCACAGGGAATGAGCATTTAAGCAAAGGCAGCAGTGCCTTTGCAGGATCACTTTTGGCAGGTTACTTCTCCTGTCTGTGAGACCATGAGCAAGTCACTTAGCTTTTTGTGTTCAGGTCTATTCATTAAAGCATTTAGGACCCGGTCTTGCCTCTTTCTACACATGTATACAGTGCTGGCATGACTGGATCTTGCTGCAGTTTTATTTCCGTAGGGATTGTTATAAGGCAAAACACTATCATAGCATCTTGTGAATCCGTGGGTTTAATAACTTTGGATCACCTGATACAGGGAACATTGTAGAGCCGCTGGGGATAACACAATGTACAGGAGCCACAGGGATTCTTCTTGTAGGCTAAGACTCATGCATTTAGATGCTATTTGAAATGCCCTACGGTGTCTGAAAAGCCCACATGTGGCTGTCAAATCCAACACAGGAACTAAGCAAACCCATAACAGCAGCTTGGCACGGCAATTCAAAGGGTGCACATAGAAGATACCTGCATTTGAGCCCTCTCTCAATGGCCATGTCCACGTTCCCATGCCATCTCCACCACTGTGCTGCCCCCAAACACAACGCCTCTCCTGATCTTCAGCCACAAAACAGACAGGGCTTGTGTACTGGTTTGGAAGTCCAGGTCCCACTGCTGGGTTGTGCACAGACATGTATTTCTTAATTCATTCTTGAGTTGTCTGATAGCAACATTGTATATGTTCTTCTCAAAGCCCCAGCTTCATCTTTCCTTTTACCTTTCTTTTTGCCCTCTTTTGCCCCTGCACACGGAGCTGCACATGCAAATTTGTCACCAGTGATGTTGCTCTCTTTTTAAAGGATGCAGCTATATTCAGAGTAGTCCTTCAAAATGCAGGTGCATCCATAATTAAGGCATCATGAAGCGGTGGCTCTTCATGTCAAGATTTTCTGAGCTTTTTGCCCACTTGTATTAATCTGAACTCCCATGTCACAGTAAAGCAGACAGGTGGTAATGAGAGAAGCACCATTTCTCAGTATTCGGTCCAACCAGAGACAAGTCTCCAGAAATTTTTCCCTGACCTGACCCCCTAAGCCGTGCCTCACAGCACAAGCTCAGCTGCTGGGTCTGAAGGTTGGGCTACTCACTGCCCTGGCGAATGCTGGCTGGGCTGTACCGACCCTGTTCCATCACCTTCCAGGTGAGAGGATCACAATGAAAATTTCTAATACATGGCCAGAGCTCCCATAGTGTCATCATCGCCTGAGGCACTGTGTGGCTGCCCTGGTGAAGCTCATCTTCGCATGAACAGAGTGTGTTCATATATGAAGATGCCAAAAACTTTCTTGAAAAAAGTTACATTAGGGAGGACATTTTTGTCCTAATAGGGAACTGCCCCAGTCTTTTAATAATCTTATAATCCCCATTTTACATTTCTGCCTTTCTTCTTTCACATTTGTTTTTACTTTCATTCTGTATCCACCTAATTATCATTTCCATACATTTCATACCACCAGAACAGGAATTTCCCATGTCTTATCTGTATGCTATTATTTTTTATTTACTCATTATACTGCATGATTAAGTTGTAAAGTAATATTCTTTTAATCTGTTTCCATAAAACCCAATGTCTTTGGGGCAGGCTCATTAAAATGTTGTGGTTTCTCAGATGGTTCCTTGAGGCCTAAAAGACAAACAAACCCCATCCATTTATCAGTACATCGCCCTTATCAGGTATATTTATAATATCCCAGGTTTGAAGATGTGGAGCAGACCGATTAAAGACCATGTTTAGAGGGATTTTGTTTGCATCTATGTCACTGATATGTTAAGAAACTTTTTATTGGAACATATGTTTGTTGTAAATCTTTAATTTCATATAAACAAATGTGTTGGAAAGGACCCCAGGATAAATTGCAGCCTAGTCTCCTGACTTGCTGAAACCAGTATCTTTTTGGTTGCTATAGCAGAGTGAGGGCTTACGTGTGAAAATGCATTTATTACCATATATTATTCTGGAGAGAACTCCTTGCTCCTTGATTGCTAGCCTCACAGCCAGGCTGTTTTTTAGGAACTGAGAAACCCCAGATCACGTATGAATAGGTAGGACCCCATAGGAGCACGGCATCCATGGAAGTCTTTGATTGTCCCTAGCAAGTTTACTCATGTTTTCCCACTCATCACTTCTGCCTGGTCTTTTCTAATCTGTCCAGCTGATGGCAAACAATGATAAAGCCATTTGCTGTGTTTCTGACGCAGCTCTGGACGCTGGCCACTAGCAGCTGCTTCTGGTCCCTGACTCCCTGACCATTGCTCTAACAAGAAAGAAGGCTGCTGTCGGAGCATCTCCACGCCATGCAGTACAGCCCCCTTTGCTTGCTGTGGATCCTGGAGATCAGGGTAGCACCTCCACACCCAACCTGCTCGCATGACCCAAACATGACATCTCTGCACAGTGCTGTGCTCTGAGCTGTACCAGCTCACGCTGAGCTACTGCAGGCACATCCATGCTGGGTACTGTGGAGGTTTACTTGGATCTCTCCCTCTTGCCATTCACTGTTTGCTGTTTCTAGATATTTTTCTGATGTTTGATGTAGTATTTGAACATCCCACAGCATTACAACTTAGTCAAAGAGTTGCCTGGGCGCCCACCAGACATGTTTTCCCATAAATGTGTAAAAAAACAGAAAAACAAAAAATATGTTTTCTTCAGCTCTTAAAAGCAACAGCTTTTGTTTTTTGAAAGTCACTGTTGACTAGAAAATCTGCCTGAACCAATGCAGGTTTTGATCAAACCTGCTCTAGTGCTGTATGACACACTCGTCTGGATGATGCTTATCACACAATGAATAATGTTGGATGGGAAGTGATGGGAAAGATGAACATCACTTGGAAAGCTGGGAGCATGTCTCTTGGTGCTGCAGGGCATGGCTTTCTGGGATTTTCCTTATGCAATGTGCCATGCTTCGTGATAAGGCACTGGAAAAAGGCTGGCACCAATAAGTGCACAACACCTGGTCTTATTAGAAATGACACGTGCATTGCACACACAGGAAAAATCCTGCAACAGAAAGGAATGACACTGGCAGAGTGAGGTCACACGTCTCAGAGAGATGATGCCTAAACCTGTAATCAGGGTTCACTCGGTTCCAGATCACTTCAATTTAAGAACGGGTGGGAAATGAGCTTGTCTGGGTCTTCAGACTTCAAAGACCTCCGGTACAAATAGAGCAGCTCCATCGGTGTGACGGTTCAAAGAAAAGCCTACATGCAAATACTTCCTACCAGGAGGAAAGTCTGTAGCCACAGCCTAGACTTTTGTCTTCGGCCGTTTGGTAACACATTTATTTTTCGGATTTCTGATCTGGCTGCAGTTGCCCATTTCTAAGGCAGGTCTTATGCAGCTCTGACTACCACATCTCATGATAAGATCTTGTTTCCTGCCGGTGGGACTCGGTTCGTAATTGACTGAGTGGGAAGACAGGTGTGGGAAAGTGATAAAGTCACACTTTTAATAATAAAGGCAATCAAGGGCAAACCCAAATCCCTTTACCATTACACATCTCCTATTTACCAGTATCTCATAGTCTGCTCTAAGGAGGCTTCCTGTGCCAGAGGAGTCCAGATGGGAGAAACGGATAGCTAGGGGGAAGGAGTGGATGAGTCAAGGGCTGAATAAATCTCTGATCAGCTCAGTACCTGTGATCCATAGATGCCTCCTCTCCAGGTTGATTTTGGCTTTTTTTTTTTTTTTTTTTTTTTTTTTTTTTTCCTCCACAAAGTTAGGCTTTTAGAGGAAGTTTATAAATTCTTGTTCTGTTCATTGCTTCCTTCACAAACTCCAGCATGACGCAAAAGGCAGCTACTTGTGCTTCACGGGACTTGGGACCTTCATCACCAAACCCAGGCTTCATCTGTACAGAGTGGGGGGCTCCTTTTAATGAAAGCAGCAGACAAGGAAGCCATTTAGAAAAGCCAGAGCCTTTAATCCATGTGAAGTCAGGTTACATAAGACTCACGGTCAAGCCAGTTTGCCAACGGGCAGAGTGGACACAACTTACTTGAGTGCCCATGTAGAAGTGATCCCTAAAATTCTGGATTTCTATTCCATTTTGAGGGTTCTAATTTTAGAGCAGCTTTAGCTTTATCTTAGTGGACCAGTTAAGACCATCAGACAACTGCCTCAGCCAACAGCCCGGAACTCTCTAAGCAAACAAGAGATTTTGTTGCTGGCAAATATTAACTAAGTAAGTCATGTGCTGACGCTGAAGGGGAGGGTGAAATACAAATGGCTAATAGGGATTTACTTTTTACATCATCACCAGTGGATATGATTAAGTAGTCGCTGTTGTCTTGGTTGCTTGATGTTGATGTTGCTTGCAGGAGCAGACGACTCATTCGACATGCTAACGTGCATGCAAATCTATCTTCTTTCCAGGATGCCTGAAAAGCAGCTGGATTCCCCAGCAATTATTTCAATTGAAAAGGTAATTGCTAGCCATGATACCAAAATCCATCAGTGTTAATGCTGTTGTTACTATAAATGGTGTTGGATCAAAGGTAAAATAAAATGTCTCCTGTACTCCTTTAAACATCTAGATCTCTGGAAAAAAAAATGATGTTACGCAATTTGATTATATTCAGTCATTTAATTATATATATTTTTACTCTGGTGTTGTTGCACATGTGTGATAATGTCAAATATCTTGTCTTTTAGCCACAGAAGAATGGATTTAAACAGAGATTTTATTAAAATCACATGTTCATATTAATTCCAGCTTCCAGCATCTCTTCCCTGATTACCAAATCCTTTGCTGTCAGGAGTGCTGCTCTTAAGGGGATGATCTGGGAAGGGAAGGACATTTCCAGGCAGGTCTGGAGGCAGGAGGGAGCCCACGGCTGGGATGGTGCCAGGACAGGGCTCAGTGCAGCCAGCGGTGGCTCTGAGCTGTCAGAGATCCCCTTGTCCTGGGAGACCTGTCTGGTATTGCAGCCCCCTGTGGGGCTCTGCCTGAGCTCTGTTTTGGAGCCTGGTTCCCTCCTACATCATTGCTGGTACCCCATTAGTAACAGCAGCATCACTTCCAAGGAGAATAAAGGGCTGTGCTTGGAGGAATCCTCTAGGGAAATTAATGTGCATCAATTAGCACCCTGTTACAGCTGCTCTCTCCAGGCACATGCTAACCTCCTCGCTGACAAGCCCTTGGGACCACATGCACCCACGTGTGATGTAGCTGCATGTGGACTGTCCCCACAGGGATGCAAGCCTGTGTCTGCAGCTGGGCTCTTTTCTAGGTCAAAAGGCTCCTTTCTGTCGTCTGGCAGGACATGGCATGTGGTCTGATTGTTGCTCCCATACAGGCAGGGTTGGCTTTGCTCCTGTAAACCATCTGGTTGCCACCAGTCCTCCATCCTTTGCTCCAGTATCAAGCAGTGATCCTGAATCAGCAACAGGTGGGAAGGGACAATAGCTCCCCACTTCTCTGGTCTGCCCTGGGGTGGTAAAATTCTGGGGGCAAACGCAACTGGGGGGCTGCTTCTTGGGCTGCTGGGAAGATTCTAATCAGGAGTGGGAATTAGATTGACACCGACCTCCCACCACCTGGCTGCTTTACTAATTTGTGCAGAGGCAAATAATCGTTAAAAGCTTTTTCAGTCTGTCTCCAGCAAGCAAACAGTGGGATTACTCCTGCCCTTGTCCTTTGAGACAGGTACTCTAATCCCTGGTACACTAATCCCTTATGGTGTGGTTAGGGTGTCGATCTTGCATGACCTTGCCTGGTGAACCAGCTTGGCAGGTTTTGCCAATCTCTCCCATTGGGCTGGAGAACAAGACGTTGGCTCAGAAAATGGGTGGGTTTGATTCTTCTTCCACATTTTTTTATTTTTTATTTTTTTTATGGGCTACAGATGACTTCACTGTTGAATTGTCCCAACATGTTGTGGTTCTGTTCTCTAGCATCTCCGGTAAAAGGAGGTATGGGAGACACCTCTGCTCTATCTCTCCCACAGAAACTGTGCCTTTGCTTTTGGGATACTGTTAGACCAGTTCTCTCCTACTGGTGATGTTAGAGCCACTGTGGGTACAGGGCTCTGCAGCCACATGCAGCCCCAGATCTACCTCAAAACTGCCACAAGTGGACACTGAGTGCTGAGGACCAGTACTGGTCTCCACCAGAGAAGCCGCATTGCAAAAGCCTCTGCTCTACTTCTTGGTTTTATTCACAATTGCACAACGCAGTGTGCTGTCTTCCCAGCCTCTGTCACTGCACTGCCATCCCTTGGAGCCACAGTGAAGGTGAACAAGGAGGCCTGGCAGCTGCAGTGCTCTCATCCAGCCCCAGCTTCCTATGAAAGTCTATTTTCCACTCCACGTTTGCCACTTTTATTACTTCTTCTAGAGCTTTTTGACTTGGGTTCTTTGGCTGTGATGTAAACCAGATTCATTAGCTTAATGCTTTGATGACCAATCTTTATGTTTGGGCTCTGGAAACCACTGGCATTTTCTGTGTGGCAAGTTCCTTATTGAGTTTTGTAAATGCTCTAGCCTAGACTGAGATCTTTCTTTTGCTGAACTTGTCTTTTCTATGTGTTCCCTCTTTCTCACCTTCCTGCCAATGTTATTTTCAGTCTTGGATTTCTAACTTTGCCTCCCAAATTTCTCTGGCCTCTGCCTCATCTCCCTCTAGAGTACCACTGTGAACTATCAGTTTGTCACCCTTCTCCACTTCTGTAAATGTGGGCATGCTATGCTACAGAGGACAGGCCCTTCATGCACACCGTGAAACCATTAAAGTATAGGGGCCAATTTAGAAAGGATCTTGAGAGAGAGTTTCTAATCTCTCTCCCAGCCCTACAGCAGGATCCCATCAACTTCAATAGTTCCATAATAATTATTTGCCTCGCCTGTTTTCCCAAGCCACCCAGCGTGGCTTGGGAGAACCGAGGTGATCAGCTGCAGTACTTCACCATTCTCACTGTTAGAAGATTCCCCTGGTGCTTAACCTCAGCTGCCAGTGATAGTTTCTCCTATCCAGCCTCTGATCTTGCAGATATATGGCAATATGACTAGCTGTCCCTTGAGCTCCTTCATTGTTTCCACCTTCTTCCATTTGCTAAGTCTTTTATTGCAGTAGATCGTAGCTGCTCCTTGCTGCCGTTGGTTTCCTCTCTAAAAATGCACACCAAGAGGCTGCAGTTTCACACCCTCCCTCTGTGAGAGATGGGAAATGGGTGAGTTCAATGTAATTCAGTGGGACTAGTGCAGTCATGTCGTTCAGAGAACCCCCCCAGGCACTTCAATAATCATCTTAAATGAAAGGCTATGAAATTAAAATCACCAGCTACATCCACCCATCCCTCTATCTGTACCTGCAGTCCCACATGTAGTTAAAGGGCACGAACATGTTGATCCGAGGACCCCAGCCTGTCTGGGGGCAGGGTTATATCCAGTCTGAGTTTAAGATGAGCAAGGAATGAATTGTAATCCTAGACAGGCTGCAGTCAGAAGTTTGGTTTCATTATGGCATAATGTGGCATAAGACCATTTCTAAGTTGAAAATGAAATTCAAGGTGAGGAGGCTGTTCTCCCTGGTTTTCTTGTGTTGCCAGCTTTCTGGGTGCTGGGGGACCTAGGCTTTTATCCAGAGTAATTGCACAAATTTCCATTTTCATAGTGCCCTGGGCTTAGCTAAGAAGAGGCCCCACTGGAACACTCAATGTATTTGGAAGTGGCATGAGACCACTTTTCCTCTGAAGAAGTTAGTCCCAAATGGGAAAAGCAGGCAATAAGGTGGGAGGGAGAAACAGAAAATCAGAACAAAAGAGTGAGTGGAAACATCCGTGAGTTCTGTTTTTTTTTTTTTTTTTTTTTTTTTTTTTTTTCCTACGGACTTGCAGGAAGTCTTTGGTAGAGCCAGGAAAGGTGCTTAGCTCACTTACGCAGCGGTAGGAAACCTCAGCAGTGAAACCCTCTCTGCTCTTCACCAAACACCTAACCCTGCCAGGTTCAAGGTGAGACTCCCTCCGCAGATAAATGGTTTTCCCTGCTGCATGGTGCAGCCCTTGCCCTGTGCTAGAGCTGTCCTGGGCAGCTCTATTGGGTGAGATCTGGAAGGTCCTTGCACCTCATATTTGTGATTTGTTACCCCCCTATGTTTGTAGCATATTCCTACTGTGGAGGACTTGTTTGTGTTGTTGTCTAGAGGCCAGATGATCCCAGTGCCCTGCTGTGCCACACAGCAAAAACTCTGCCTGGAGCAAGGGGTGCAAAGAACAGCCAGGGCTGGTAGTGCAGGAGAGGAGGCACTATGGCATTTCAGTGCGCCTGCTGTCAATGCAGAAAAATCCTGGAGGACCACAAACTAACTGGCTGTGTCCTACCTGCTGTAGGAGAGGAGCACAGAGGATGTTTTCTGGGTAGGGTGAGGCAGCCCACCCTGATAAAAGCTGCTTATGGCACAGGGAACCATAGGACTAATGGCAAACTGGCCACTGATGCTTAGCATTAGTTTGTCTTTGGATCCCAGGGCATGGAAAACCTGCTAGAACATCACCTAAGCTGCGACCAGGCTGTCTGACAGACATGTCAATGGTTTCTCTCATTTAAGTGGTTTGATTTAAAGCCGAAAGGAACAATAGAATAATTTCTTATCAGCTCCCACGTGTTTGGTATTAAAACCTGCACCCTGGAGGACCCGCTCTGCAGCTTTGACATATTCATCCCCTAGAAACCCTGACCGAGCCTGCTCCAAGGTGTACATTGGCAGTCATTTTGCAAACAGAAGCTGCATGCCAGCTTGGGAAGGAAGCTCACTGCTCTGCTGCTGTACTCGAGGCATGACAGCTCCTGACTGTCTGATGGGAAGGGAGATGGGAAGCTATCCAGCAAAAAATCAACCCCAAGGAAAATTCCCAGCTGGCCCTTGCTACAGTTTACTTCTTTTGGTGTAATGGTGAGAGCACAACAGGACTGTTCAAATGGTTTCTTATCCTTCATCCATATGTATGGCAGTGGCTGAAGGTTGTTTAAATGAAGTCTGAACTGGAGACATACCTGATAGACCCCAGGCAAAGCAGTCTTTCCCCAGAGGATGTATACTCTAGGCTGGGGAAAGATATACAGACATTTCATTTTCCATTGATGCTGCTTCTGGGTGGCTTTGCTGTCCCCAGACCCACTGGCTGCTTAGCAGTTCCTGCTGTAGGAACCAAGGAAAGGGGAGGAAATTACCTTGTGGTTAATGACTTGGTGCTGCCCTCGTCTTCACTACAGGGGGATGGCAATTGGATGGAAGCTACTTGACCTGCTGTGTGGGCGATGCCTGTTGGTCAACATCTGTCTCATGTAAGCTCCCTTTTGGCTTATCAGCATCCCCTCTCTACCTGCTCTGTCCCAAGATAAGGCTGAGCCATCACCTGGCTTTTCTCTCTCCCTTCCTCATTAAAATCAATTAAGGTCCATCTCTTTCCTTGCAGTGCCACCAGAGGCCAACGTGCCCAAAGGACACCCAATGTCCTGCCTGCTACAGCATGGACTCCTTCCAGTGATGTAACAAAATTGTAGACTGCACTGGATCCAAAACCCAGTGTGTCGATCTGGCTGGGTTAATTAATTCTGGTAACTGTCTTTTGTTTGGGGTTCTCTCATATTTTTGGTTGAACCGGTAAACACAGTTTAAGAGGAAGAATCATAGAGAAATAAAAATGGGTGAAAAGTGTGAAGGAGAAACAGAAGAAGAGATGCAAATCTGAAAGGGGTCGTGTTTAAAGTTGGAAAAGATGTGATTTTTTGTCTTTCTTTTTCCCCATCTCACACAGATAACCGCTGGGATTCCCTGTAATATGACATACCTGAGGTGAAGAGCAGAACTGGAATAGTGAAGCAATCTGGTATATGGACATGTAATAAACTTGGCCAACACCCTAAATTTTATGGCCCAAGCTAGAATGCGTGAGGATGAATCTGGATTTAAACCAGTTACCCACTTGCTGGAGGTTTGGGTGAAATCAATATAGAGCTATTGGCTTTCTTATGAGCTATAGCTTATTAGCTTATAGATATTGTGGGGACAAGACTGTTGTAGTGGTGCCTGTGCTCTTACAGAGGGAGGGACAAGTCCTTCCCCTTGAACACTGCAGCTGAGCCTTTGGGGTCTGCGTACCCCTTCCCTGCTGCAGGTAAAAGACTTCCACATCTCCACGCAGTCCCACCCATGATCCATCAGGCAAGAAAAATAATGTGGAAATAAAGGTTAGCAACATCTGCTGTGAAAACAGAGTGGGAAAAACACACACACACACAAACAAAACCACAAACAAACAAAACCACAAAAACTTGCATATGGTTATGGCCTTACTCTGAGATGATGATGCTGCCATGTCATGGTAAGAGGGCTGAAGGTCTTTGCTATGTGCTTTACATCTATTTTGTCCAAACTCTGAATTAGAAAGTGTTTTGCAAAGTCAACACAAAAGAAAAACAATTTTTGTAGTCACAGAAATGGAAATAGATTGGTGCAAACTATGTACAACTGAAATTAAAAAAGGCTCTTAACTTGTCTTGACTTGACTGTAAATAGAGGAAATCTGTGTGGTGTGATGAGCCATGTAGAGGAAACGATGGTGTAGGAAGAACAAAGCAATCTGAGGAACTAATGAAGTGTCTGTATACATTATTTATATTGGAAATAGAAATGTCCAGCAGAATATGCCAGACCTGGAAAATATGAGCAAAAGAAAGCAATGGGAGTGAGTGCATCTGAACAGGGAGCTGGACAGCCAGAACTGATCAGAAGATCACACACAGCCTGTCTGACCTGCTGGGTGTCCAGAGATGTAGGCAGTTAGGGAATTTCACTGCAAAGCTGCTTGGAATTGTTAACCTACAGGAATTTTCTTCACAGGTGTTTAGTCTGGCACAGCAGGCCTAAGCTTTTGGAAAAGTACCATTTACAGAGTGGGGGAAAAAAAAAGTCTATTTTAACAAGGAGCTCTGGAAGTTGTTGACTTGGGATAAGGTTGCCTTGCTTTCTCCAGGCTGAGATTCAGGTCACTTGTCTTCTGTGGGATAGACATGGACATCTCTGTGCAACTATAACACTCTAAAGTCTCTTTCTCATGTAGATGCTCTGGTGCGAGCAAAAGACAAGTTCAGGTTTCAGGCTCTCCCTTAGTGGATGAGAGAAAGGTTTCTCTGTTGCTTTGGCTAAATGGTGTAAGGCCTTAGAGGCTGGACTTATCTAAACAAATGGCTCAGCTTGTAATGCCTTTGAGACTTCTCACCCCTGTATCAAATTTGGCTGAAAAATAGTCATTCAGCTCAAACTTCATGAGAGGGTCAAAGAGAGAAGGTGACAATTAACAGCTGCAGTGCTGTCACACAGCTCTGACTTCTTTAGGAAGCTAGGCAAGGTTTGAAGGGAAAAATCTTTACATGAAAGAAAACAATTTAAAAGCTTTTCAGTTTTTTTTAAATCTGTAAATTAAAAAAAAATAATAATAAAAATTGTCTTTATTCCTCAGAAAGAAAGAAGGGACAAACCCTGAACCCTTTGTATTTCTAGATAACCAAGGTGACCTTCAGACACATTCAGGGGAGGAATGGGCAGTACTTGGGGTGGAAATGGAGGGGGCTTCAGTGGTCAGGGAGGGAATAGCTGTGGAGAATGTTTCCCCTGACATGTGGCATGTACTTCTTCTGCTGCTTGGGTGGACTGTCTCTGAAAGCTGCCAGGAAGGGCTGCACCACCATTTCTGAAAACCATGTTGTAGGAAATGGAAATGGAAAAAACAATCTGGGGATGATGAACATGAAAATGAAGCCGTTCCAAAGCAAACCAACTTATGCTTTGGAAAGACTGGTTTCTTGGCTTGCCCCTCCACAAACTCTTTTTCTCCCTGTCCTGATATCTTGGAGAAGTTACTTTTCTGACTCTCTCTAGGACTGACCTATGCAAAGCTTTCAATGAGCTCCAGCAGTGGTTGGCACCAACTCATTTGCTGTGGCTTCTTCTGCATGGGGAGTTTTTTTTCATATTAGCTTTTATTTATTTATTTTTATTTTTATAATTTTACAGAATAGAGACAGTACTTATACTTCTTTTGTCTCCTCATTGATTTATCTGATTTAAATCTGCATATGTTCAATTTTGGTTGGTTCTCTGTTTCGTTCTTTGAGTGCTTTGTCCATACTGGGACCTAGGGTGAGTGCATGAGGTGCTCACACACTATAGGCAACAGGACCTCCCAAGACAGCATTAGAGTCTACATCCACTGTTTCAGGATAAGTCCTCTGTGTTTGGGTAACCACTCTTTCAAGCTGTGGAAAGGACTGGAGGTGAGTTCCTGAGAAGTTCAAATTGATTAGAGAGCTAGCTTGCCTCTTTTTGCCTCCCTTATACTGTATTTGTCTAGGGTAAGATGAGTCCCTCAGCTCAGATGGCTGCTGGTGGCCTACAGGCAGCCCTGAAGTAGTCTCCATTTCAGAGAGGAATCAGTGGCCTTTTGCTACAAGCAAACTGCTCCTGGCAAGAGTCTTTCTCCTGGTGGCTGTTCTTGCTTTACCAGACACTCTATCATGTTCTATTTTAGGTTTCAGAATTATCCGGAATAAGTACTTACCTTAAGAAGGTTTAATTTCATAAAGCAGGCAACTTGCTACGGTGGTCCAAGTAATGGAAATCTGTAGTGCAGTTCCTATTCCCTTCTGTTGGTCAGACTACACCCACAGTTGGCTTAGCTGCCTGCTTCTACATTCCCCACCACCTAGCTGTTCTGCTCCAGCCACTGTCTGTCCTGCTAGCTCTCCTCAGGTTGGTCCCACGCAAAGGTACCAAAGAAAAATAGCACATTGGGCAACAACACTGTGCCTGGGAAGTGGTATGGGCTGTGGGCAGAAGGATAAAATGATGGGAGCTCTGGGAGTTGCTGGGGTGTAGCATGTAGGAGTGTACTTCGGCATCTTGCTATCCATCTGTTCCCAGATGAGTGAAACCTACTAGAAAAGGGTGGCCTATTTCTGGAGAAGACTATGGGATTATTAAGCAAAATGCATGATTGTGTCTGTGCTTACTAGCTCTGGCTCACAGTGCAGTGTTTTTGACATGGAGTTACAATGATCAGAAATGGAATTTTATCTCCTAATTCAAAGCTGTGGCAGAAAGCCCTGTGGAAAGCCTTGGCTGCTGAAACCAGACCACAATATGTGGCAGCAGTGAGATGATTACACACACTTATATATGCATGAATATATATGTCATCAGCTTTTAACTTGTAGCATGGGGACTAAATGTTCTCATAATTTCAGTCTCCCCCAGACTTTATCTTCTCAAACGGGATGAAACTTCTTTCTAATATTCCCACTGAATTATTTGGATTTCATATTATCTATAATAATAAAGGGATGTGAGTCTGTGAGTGAAAATTAAATTTTGGGGTGGGGAGTGAACTGATAATATGGATTTAATGCAGGGAAAAGAGTCTGGTTAGGCTCAGTTAATTATTTACAGAGGCTGTGCAATTACACTGTGGATGTTAGAGAGGGAGTACAGCTCCTGCTTCATGGTGTAGCAATATGCTGATAGTGGAGCAACTCACTCTCAGCATTTTTACGGATCTGATAACTCCCTGGAATTAAAAAAATTCTCTACCCATGTAAGTACCTTATCCCCGAACACATCTCCTGCATGTTCATGAAGACCTTGCTGTCTGTGGCATTCCCCATGGCAGATCTTGATCCACTTCAGTAGTTCAACCCTTCACTCCTTGTTGAGTTTGCTCCCCTTTTACCTGTGGTATTATCAGGATGGAAAAGCTAAGTTTTATTCAGCCTGGTCAAGACTTGGATGAGACGTATCTAAAGAACCATGGTACCGGGGTGGTATTTAGGGGAGGATAAGGAAGATGTGATGGATGCACTCAGGTCCTGCATTTGACTAAATCTGTTCAGAATTATTAACCACAATAGGCCTCCACGTGAGTAGGTCTCAATGTGAGTAGGCCTCAAAGGGGATACAGCCCTAGAACAGGTGATCCACCGAAACTCTTCATGGTGAAATAACAAATTGCATCAAAATGTCAAAAACAATATGGTAAAATTCTAAGCTTGACTACAAGCCAATCACTTTATGTCATAAATACAGCAGTTAGAGAAGGCCTAATATGGGCTCTCCTTGCACAGCAGTCCACTCCCCTTGGCCTGGGATGAGTCAAGGTTACTCTTCGAGGTTGAGAGATCCTTACAAACTATGCTTGTTGGTGAGTGAAATTTTAATCTTTAATGGTGTCTGATTTACGTTAAGATTTAGCAACTTAAATATAAAGTAGACTAATCACTGTGACTCCTGTCATCATAACAGATTAATGATACCAATCTACTTACTATAATAAACTAAATTGCTCTTATATCACTAAAGCTGTAAGTGTTAGATATCTCTTGTGACAGAGGGGGAGGGCAGGCAGCAGTGTTTCTGGCAAGGGTTTGCAGGGCAGAGAGGAAAAACAGCTCAATTTTAACTTGTAATTCAATGTTGTGGCAAACAATGCTGTTGCAATCTGTGGCTACATAAATGGGGGAACGATGAGTAGAAATAACCCTATGTCTTTATGACTGATACACTGATGCTTGGTTATGATCCAGCGTCCCCATTTTTAAAGGCTATTAAAAACAGAAGGCGTGAAGAAAAATATCTCTCAGTGAAAATCTTCAGGAACATAAACTGGTGAACTTCCTGAAAAGCAGATAGAGAGGCAGCTTGTTTACAGGCTGTAAACATGCTTATATGGAAAAAGATAAGATTTAAAGGGCTTTCCTATATGTGAGAGCACAGCAGAGACCTGACAAATCCAAAGGAGGAAAAGTCACATCACCACTGTGCATAAATTTCAGCCATCAGAGCTTTTGATGTCTGCAAATCCAGCATGAAGGTCTTTCAGAACTGGGCGTTGTAGTGGAGTACAGGTCATAGGCAGTTCAGGCTGAGCTGGTAGAAGCGTGATGGACTGGGGTACGAAAGAAGGTGAGGAGCTGATGAGCCTTTCTGATCTCAGATATGGTTCCTGGGGAGAGAGGTGAAGCTGGAGTGTGTTCGGATAAAAGCAACACAAAAGATGATACAAAAACCCTGGTGGTGTCAATTTACAAAAACAAATCAAGCATTGGGATCTTGGTATCTTGAGCAAGGAGTGATGAATACACAATAGTTGCCTCTAACTATCTGCAGGCTGTGAGCAACAGAGAAAGGGGCATCTCCAGCAATTCCCTGTCAAAAAACAGAGTGGATATGGGAAGATCCATGGTTCGCAGGATTTAATTGAGATGGGAGCAGCCCTCGTCTCACAGGCATGTTTGGGAGGGGCAAAGAGAGATGTGGCCAGAACCCATCATAGTAAATGGAATGGCTCCTGCTGATTTTAATGGGCTTTGAACCGGGGCTTGGACACCAAGCTGGGTTGTTTCCATCTGCAGCTTCTCTTTATAATATATACAAACCTTACTCCCACCCATGCACACACACAGACATGTAAAACCAGATCCTCCTTTAGATCTTGCAGACACTTCAGCTGCCAGGCATGCGAGATACAGCAGCCCTGGATGGCTGGATGAGGCCTGTCTTACCCACAGCACTGACCATGTCAACAACAGCTTTGATCTCCCTTTTCACAAAACAAAGACTCAAACCATTGTTTTCCCTCCCCAGACAGTGGAAAAATAACCATCTTCTGCTTCCCTTGCTCTCCTCTGCAGCTTCAGTTCTTTCTCAAATGGTTGAGCCAGCAGGAAAACCCAGTGGCAAACAGAACAGCCAGTGATCTGCAGCAGACAGATGGATATGCAGGAATTTTGTCTGATAAGTGATTTTGTAGGGCCAGGGAGAGAGAATTTGAGCTGTTGTTTGGTGGACTCAGCCCTGAGCAAGTGGGTGGACTGAGGAGGTGCAGGCCAGGAGAAAACTGGGAAAAGGGCCTGTGTCTCTGTACACCCATGCATGATGTGGAAAAGATCTTATCAGATACTAAAATCCTTGGTTCCCTCTTTCCAGAGTATCTAGAGCTGGGAAAGGTTTTCCTTCCATTTCTTGGGAAGCATTTTTGGGCCAGCACCTTCACACCAGGATCTCAGGACACTGGAACCTGACAAATTTATCTGTTTTTCTGTCCAGAGCACAGTCTGGGGTTGTATTTACAAAGGAATGTGAAATTGTTGCTGTTTCTTTTATGTAATAACCATGGCTCTTAAAAGGTGGTTTGTCCAGCACCCTGGGCCAGCAGGTCCAGTAGGCATTTTGAGGATTACAGTTCTTCAAAGGCAAAATGAAGACGAATAGAGATTGAAAAAACAATGTTTCTTGCAGATAGGAAAAACATGTCCTGCTGCATGCTGGAGGCTAAATGATTTCTCCTGCCTATTTCAGGAAAGGACAGCAGGACTGGGGCCATCTGGCCAAAGCTGGTCATCTGCAATGGGTAGGTGTATCCATCTGAGCACGTCACCAAACTACTGAGGTGGCTGAATCAGTACTGCCCTTGGACATCAGATTCTGTGTCCGGTCAGAAAAACCACACTGCAAATTCCCATTTGTACTAAGGCCCAACTCTGCCCATGCCACCAACAGAGGTGGCTCCATAGTAGACACATGTTAATTGAAGAGGTTGCTATCCTTAGGGTTCTGTTTTTTTTGTGTGGAGAACATATTTACATTAAAGATGTGGGGCAAAGAAAGCAAACACTCCACAGTCCACTGTGCTAAGGGATTAGACTAAATTCCCAAAGCTGTATGTTCTCATCTCCGAAATCCTTGGACACTTTTATGGGATTGGAAACCCGCTGTTCCCAAACCCTCACACGTATTTGCTCTTCTCTGGAATGCATGTTGTGAAGAACAACATTTGGTCCCCATCTTTATTACTGTTGTATGGAAGTAGCATCTCTCCCTCCCTATACACATCCAATACTGTGAATAGAACATCTTGTTCAGACTCTTGGGAGCTCTCT